TCTCTCTCTCTCTCTCTCTCTCTCTCTCTCTCTCTCTCTAACTGTTTGTGTTATTGCAAGGGCGCACTTGTTCAATGTCGCCTGCAATAAGAAGAGTTCCATTGCAGCCGACAATTTCTTGGAACACACTCCTGAATGATTGATGAGTGGACGAACGCAACATGTAATTGTCGGTGTGGCAGATTGGTCCGTCTGCTGCAGAGAGAAGAGTGCTGTTGCAGTCCACAAATTCTTCCAATATGAATACGAATGATCTATGAGGGGGTGGACCTGGCATGCGGAGCATAGTGATAAGTGTTGCAATGTTCGGCATACCAGGAGCCTGCACCAGTCCAACATGTCCTGGAGAGAATACAAAGTAGGAAGAGGAGAGAGCATTTGTGAGGATGCAATGACTACAAAGAAAAAGAAAAAAAAATTAAAAAAAAATAGAAAAGTGCAAAAGAATCTTCAGGGTTCGTCGTTCTGCTTTCTTTTATGCCCCTCCCTCCTCGTGCTCTTTCGTTCCCTCCTCCGTCCTTCCCCGACCTTTGCCCTCCCGAATACATGTCTCCTCCTTCATGTTCGCTCGCCTCCAATCATCATCTACGAAAATTTTACCCAACAAATAAGAACGAACAAAAAAATGAAGTCTTATCCATCACTTCAGCCCTTCGTCCATGCTTTGCCGATCGCACCCATGCAAAGTTGGCCGCCTTCCGCCGCTCTCCTCTCCGATGCTACGCTTGTTCAGTGTCCTCTCTCCTTCGTGTGCCCTCCCTTTCCTATGCTATGCCACTTTCTTCTCGATCTTGCTGCCAGCTGGCTATGCTGTACCACTCTCCTCTCGATCGTGCTGCTAGCTGGCCGCGTTCTCCCGCTTTCCTCTTGGATCCTTCCTTCCCGCCCTCCGATCTCCCGTGCAGTCTCCTTGCCCCTTGGTGTGCCCTCTCCTTCCCTCATTATCCTGCCCTTCTCCCGTCTCCTTCGTGTCCCCTCCCTTTGCCCCATGCAGTCGCCTTTCCCCTTGGTGTTCCTCCTCCATCCTACCTTATGCCACTCTCTTCTCAATCATGATCCGTCTTTCCCTCCCTGCGCCCTTCTATGTTTCCTCTCTCCTCCCTTCTGGCAGGATCCGTCTTTGCCTCCCTGCGCCCTACTACATCACCTCTCTCCTCCCTTCTGGCGGGATTCGTCTTCCCGGCCTCCCCTTCAACTCCGGAAATCAACACACGATTTGATACCTACCGTGCACTGATTGGGCCTCGCTCCGCCACTCACCAAATCCACAAATGGGGATTTACACCACCCAAAACATTAAAAAGTTTAAAAGCCTCTCAAAAAATGTTGTACACCTTATCTACAGACACAGAAAGAGAGAGAGATAGTGAGAGAGAGGGAGGAGACAGATCAAAATGGAGGAAAGGCCTTTTCCTTCCTTCCTCCTTGTCCCTTCATGCTCGCTGGATCCATCGCTGCCCTTCGTGCTCTTCGTCTTTGAATCCTGCCCTCCCACTTTCCCCCTCCCTTCATCTCTTCGTCTTCGCGTTCTGCCCTTCCTCCTCTCCCGATCCCTCCATTTCCTTGCTGCTCTTCCTGCTCTTCGTCTTTGAATCCTGCCCTCCCTCTTCTCCCCCTGCCTCCATCTGCTCGTTGCTCTTCCTGCTCTTCGTCTTCACATCCTGTCTCCGTCTTCTCATCCGGTCCTTTGGCTTCTTCCCCTCATTCCATCTCCTCACTGCTCTTCGCATCTTGTCTTTGTCTTCACATCCTGCCCTCCCGCTTCTCCCATCTTCGCACTCCCACGTCTCCCCATCCCTCCATCTCCTCGTTGCTCTTCGCATCCTGTTTTCGTCTTTGCATGTCCTCGCTGCTCTTCCTGCTCTTCGTCTTCACATCCTGTCTCCGTCTTCGCATCCTGTCTCCGTCTTCGCATCCTGCCTTCGATTCTCCCCCTCCCTCCATCTCGTCACTGCTCTTTACATCCTGTTGTCGTCTTCGCATCGTCCTCTCCCACTTCTTCCCCTCCCTCCATCTCTTCACTTTTGCACTCCCGCTTCTCTCCCTCCCTCCATCTCTTCATTTTCGTACTCCTGCTTCTCACCCTCCCTCCATGTCCTCGCTGCTATTCCCGCTCTTCGTCTTCACATCCTGTCTCCTTCGCATCCTGCCCTCCCGCTTCTCTACTGCTCCTCGCCCTCCCTCCATCTGCTTGCTGCTCTTCCTGCCCTTCGTCTTCGCATCCTGCCTTCCCGCTCCTCCCCCTCCCTCCATTTCCTCGCTGCTCTTCCTGCACTTCGTCTTCGCATCCTGCCCTCCCACTCCTCCCGCTCCCTCCATCTCTGAGCTGCTGTTCCTGCCCTTCATCTTCACATACTGCCCTTTCGCTTCTCCCCCTCCGTCGATCGCCTCGCTCCTCTTCCTGCCCTTCGTCTTCGCATCCTGCTCTTCTGCTCCAACCCCTCACTTCATCTCCTCGCTGTTGTTCCTACTTTGCGAAGCCCTCCTGCATCTCCCCCTCCCTACATCTCCCGACTGTTTCCCCCCTCCTGCTACTCCCCCTCCCCCCATCTTCCTCCTCCGTCCATCTGCGTGTATGGTCATCCCGCTTCTCCCCCTCCCTCCATCTCCAAGCTGCTCTTCCTGCCCTTCCACTTCTCCCCCTCTTTTCATCTCTTATAAATAATAAAAACCAAAACCCCCCAAAAAAAAACCACTCACCTTGATTGGCCATCGTGACGCGGTCTCTCACACCTCCAACCCGCTTTCATCACCCTTGTGAACTCCTGCATTTCTTCCTCGCGCCCTTCCGGTAGATCTCCTTCGTTGGCCGCCTCAAACTTTCTTTGAAGCAACACGCGATCTGTCCCACCTTTTCCAACCCGCTTTCGTCAACCTCGTGAACTCGTGCGTGATCCTCCGACCCGTGCTCACACCAGCGCACATCCAGGTATGCCATCAACCTTGTACTCACACCCGCACACACACCAGTGCACACGCACGTATCCTGTGCACGCATATCACCCACCTGCGAACGGCCCTGCACGTCTGCCACCTCACCCATGCATCGCACCAACCAAGTCGTCAACACTATCGATCTCATACTCACACCCACAGACGCACCAGCGCACATGCACATATGCCACCAACCACTCATACTCACACCCTCACACACACCAGCACACATGCATGTATGCCGTCGACCTCGTACTCACACCTGCAAACACACCAGCGCAGATGCACGTATCCTGCGCATGTATAGCCCGCTCGCCCCTCGACGTTCGTGTCCTCAGGCAGTCTCCTCCCCCGGCTCGCTACACTATGTCGCCCTTCTCTCAATCGCGCTCCTGGGTGGCCGTGCTCACTTGCTCGCAACGGATCCAAGCAGCGCTGGTCCGTTTCAATCCGGCCATGGCCCAGAAACTTCGTGGTGTGCACCCTCGGGTTGGGCCCGACCTCTGCTATCGAGAAACTTCGCGCTGGGCCACGCCCGGGCTGGGTTTTGCCTTGGGCCCGCCGTGGGCCCAACACGACTTTTTCCAACACTGGTGCGGGGGGTATCACGTGGGAGCGTCATGCGAGACCCGCTGTTGGTATGGAAGTTAACTAAAGAGGAGATGGCATGAGGAGATGGTGTGTTTCTTCATAGAAACCTCACCGTGCATGTCTCGTGTACCACCCTGTTTACACCTCATGTTCATGAGTTACGTGAACTCATGTAGACTGGATGTAGGAGGCACATGCCCATATATCCAGGGACTGTCTTTATGGAGGAAAAATCCTTTAACGATAGGCTATGATTCCTAAAAGAATGACTTCTCCATACCTGAAATAAGATGTGCTTGTCTCGTTGCTGATATCTGCAAGATCGGTTCACTGGTTTGAATTGTGATTAGTCAGTGTACAAGTCGTTTTTCATAGCCTTGCTGGAATTAACTTTGGCATGCAGGTTCAGTAAAATTTAACTGCCGCACCCAGAACCACAGCCATCCTTTTCTGCTCATTCACCTCTTCTCGCAACTTGTTCCTGTTTCAACCTACACCCCAGCTTCTTCCCAGATGCATGCTGGTTGTTTAGTGACATGTGAATCTGCAAATGGACTCCTACTCTGCTACACTGTTGCTAAGACTCCTGCTAAGACTCCTAAGACACAGACCTACAGTTCAAGACCTGGCGACCGCACTATCTCCAACAACTTAGCATACAACTTTCAGAACACAGGTCGCGGGTTCAAACACACATGGGTCAACTGGTACTGTACATGGGTGAAGGCGATGTCTAGGGATCGAGCCCTAGATACTGCATCTGCTACCGTAAAGGTGAAAACCGTTTCACCCCCGCCGGCCTAAATTCGAGGTCCTCAAAGAATACTTCAACGCAAGGCAAGACCTTTATCTTTCCTTTCTCTATCGTAGGCGTGGACTATGTCGGGAGCTGGTACGGACTTCGCCAGGGCTCGATCCCTGGTCTATCTTTTGCTGTTTCGGCTGCATCCCGTTTTCGGCCTGGCACCCTTTTTCCAAACCCCTCCTT